ACTGCATCCTTTGATAAGTGGGGTTTGTTGCTCCTCCTTTGACTCTGGGCTGACCTTGGAGAGTTGCTTATGAGCAAAACCATGAAGTGGAGCCATTTTTATTGTAGCACAGCTCATAACAGCTGAGATATGGGATCAACATTGGCTCTCAACAGGGAAATGAATAAAAATTTGATTTTATAAATATATATGCTATAAAGATTAATAAAATCCTGTCATTTAAGCAAAATGCATGGAACTAAAGTTCTTTGTCATAAAAAACTGAGAATACATTGACTTGAATGTGTCTGCCTCTATTTGCTACAGGAGGAAATAGTACTCAGAGCACTAGACATGTCCAGTTTGGTATTAATAACCCGTGTTATGCAATAACTTAAGGGAGACCAGTACTGTTATTAATTTTGCTAATATTATCTTTTAAATTTCTACTTTGGAAAGAAGTCAAAGCTGAATTGTATTTGTGTTGGACAGACTCCAAATATCAGCTGACTGTGCTATCATAATACGCAACCTTTCATTTATTGCCAAAATCCAAGCTGAGGACATTCTGGGCAATAATAGGCCTATAGCCTTCAAAATAACAATGTCTTCAGACACAAAGAGAATTTCATGTGTTCCATCCACATTAAACAACGCTAATGATAGATAATAAAATTAAACACATCTGCTCAAATTACTTACAGTGTACAACATACTTGGGGAAATAGCTAAATTCTGGTTAAGGCTTAATCTAAATAACTACATTATCACAAGGTTAAGTTATGTAATTTGGCAACTGTACATAAGGAAAATCTTTAAGATATTTTAGGGGTAAGTTGACATCATGTCAGCTGCATTGATTTAATTGATCATTCAGGAAGTTTGTACATATTTAGTGAGAAATGCAGCAGGCAGAGGGGCATAATACAGCAAAATATCAATATTGGAGAATCTGAGACATATTATTCTTGCCACTTGTCTATAATTCTGAAATTATGTAAAAGATATTTTCAAATCCCACCAAATTAGAAAGTTGCAACAAGCTGGAAAATCCATTACTAGGAGGTTTCACTGAGCAATACTAATAGTATCAAAATTATTAAACAGAAGAAAATCCAATAAAGGTGATTAAAACCTCTGAGAAAAGTTAAAGACTTAAATAAATTGAGGGCTGTGATTTGCAAATGAAAGTGGAAACTCAATATTCTTATTCAATTATCTCCAAATTCATATGATGGTGAAATTCGATCTCATTCAACATACCAATGCTTTTTTGAACTAATTATGACAAAGTGATTGTGGATTTTATATAGACCAAGAATGACTAGCACACTTGACCAAAAAAGCAAGAAAAATCAGTAAGTAATATTAAGGTGATTCTTTCTGATTGAATGAACATACTGTAAAGTTACAATAATTAAAAAGATATGGTATTAGTAAAAGACAGACAAATGACAGATTGTAATAGAACAGTGTAGAAACAGAATGGAAGACATCTGCAGTGTTTTTTCAATTGATTTCTTTGAACTTTCTTTGCCTTGACCTGAATGCTTACTAATAAGTGAGAAGGTTGTGGCACTACAAAGTTTTGAAGTCAGTTCTCCTTGTTTTCTGCTCTCAGAGGCATGGGACTCCAGGACCCTGAGCCCCGCCCTCTGAGTGCTCTCACCTGAGCAGACCACCATGGCCGCGTTCCCAGGGGAGCAGGCAGGGACGCCCAGGGCGCTCACAGGGCAGTTCCACAGGAAGGACTCGGCCCCCGAGCAGTGGAATCGGTCTGGCCAGATCTCACCTCCTCCTCCTCCCGCAGAGTGCGCTCCTTTTGGGGTGGGGAGGGCGACCCCGCAGCCCACCTGGCGGCACACGACTTGGGAATTTGCCGCGCTCCAGTGGGAGGCACAGAGCATTCTCCAGTTCTCAGATTTGCGCATCTCCACCTGCCCTGCACACGAAGAGGGGACGCTGCTCCTGAGCCGGACTTCGGTGAGCTCTAAGGTGAGAGGACGGGGTCAGCAAGGTGTTCTTACCATGCCATGTGCAGAGGGAGAGGGGCTGCTGAGTCTCACCTGAGCAGACGACCTGAACTGTCCCTGTGTGGCTGCAGCTGCCCCCAGCACAGGGCACTCTGGGGCACAACCAGAGTTCGGGCTCCTGCCCCTCACACCGGAACTGTTCAGCCCACACCTGTCCAGCTTCCACTCTGAAGGACAGGTCCTCCCGGACAGACACAGCCTTGCCACACCCCAGCTCTGCACAGATGACCCGGGCGGTGGGCAACGTGAAGTTTGCAGCGGACACTGGAGTCCACCCTCCCCCAGGGTTCATTTCCACTCGGCCTGAGCAGGGCCCGACTCCTGCAGCCAGACGCACAAATCCTAAGGGAAGGAAAATAAACACATATACAAAATGACAAAACAAATACGCATTTTCTTTTCAAGTTTAGAAGCAAAAGTCATGGGCAATGAAAAGTGTAGGCCTCCCCTCATCTAGGTTGGTATGTGGGAGAGTATTCAACATTTGGTGTCAAAATGGGAAGATCAAAAGCAAGTGCTTAAAAGGTGAAATTTATAGATACAGCTCAGAATAAATATTTTATCAAGACTTGTTATACTATGTTTTAAAGTGGTCGTTTTCTGTCTCTTGGCTGTATACTTCCTTTTCTAAATTCTATATCCAATGAATACGAACTCAGTGAAGAACTAGACTTTGCTTATTGTTTCCACAATTTCTTAATTTATGGTACTGGGGATTGAACCCCAGGCTTTCACACTGACCACATTCACAGCCATCCCTGCCCTTTATTACAAAGTCTCCCTAAATTGTTAAATAGCTTGGGCTGTTATCAAACTTTTAATTTTCCTTGTCCTACACATCCCCCTTTTTCATTATATAATATATAATATATATTATATAATAATCCCTTCTATGTTAACATTTGCTAGTGAATGAAAATTTTCTACATTTATTGAAACCTCAAAATTTACATTTCCTTCCCAGTTAGTAATGAGAGAAAATCCCACTAAATGGGCTACAGCACAAACTAGATCATTGGAAATAAAATTCCTGGGATTCCTCACATCCTTCTTCCCATTAAAGAAGACAGAAACTGTAGGTGGTGATGAAGTGATTAAGAAATGATTAAGACACTGGAGCGTGTTTGTGTGCTTATTTACAGTAATGCTTTCTTCCCAAGGGCGACACCAAAGTGTGATGGATGGAAAAAGCATTGATTTGTTTCTTAAACTGGTGACTTCAGATCTGCTTAGACCTGCTCCTGTTTCTATCAGATGGCTGTGCATTAAAATGAAGCCTGGACCCCTAAATGGTCCCTACGAGGCAGCTTCAAGTTAGACTGTGATAAGAACAGGATGTTGACAATGTATCTCGCATGGAGAGTCAGAATGCAGAGTTTCCACATACAAAAATTACAAACTGAAATGATTAACCTTTGGGACCTCAGGGTTTTAAATTGAGTGAGATCTGGACCGTGTCATGAAAATCAGCCATCAATAATGGTGGATAGGCACAGGTAAAATACTGATCATTCTCCCAAGACCCAACCAGAACAGAAATACTTAATGGTGAATTGTAGGTGAAGACTCTATGGACACCATGCTGACTGCCCAGCCCTGTACCCAGAGAGAGGGAAAATGACTGCTGCATCTGCACAGTGCCCACTGTGAAAATTGTCTCTCAAAAGGAAGATTTTTGGCACAAATTAGGACTATGTACTGAATTCATGAAAATAATATGAAAGATGTGGGAACTAGTTTAAAATATATACACTATTTTTGAAAAGATTTTATTCTATCAATGAAATAATTTTGAAAGGTTTTTTAGAAGGAAAACATGTCTTATACATGATTCTTACTTGATATTGCTTTCCATCTGTAAATTCCACAGTAGTAAAAATCTATAAATGTTGAGGGAAACATAGCACATGAAAAAAATATATTTGAAAAATAACACAGTGAATTATACAGAAGACCTAGAAGCTGTAGAACTTTTCTGTGAACATAAACCTTTTGGTATGTATCTAACAGGGTCACAAATTCCCATATTGACTAAGACCATTTACTTTTACAAAATAATAGAAATATTCTCATTGTTTTTTAGGGGGACCCATACATTTTTTTTCTTTAAAAAAATAATGTTATTGTCTCAGAGTCTAGAGGATACAAAGTGGAGTTAAAATTTCCAGTAGGCTTGGTTCCTAATCCAAAGAGTCCAGGGAGAGTCATTCCTTTCCTCCTCCTC